TCCAAGACCAAGGCTCAAGGAAGAAGTGTCATTATAGGTGATAACGTATCTTTACATTTGAGCATTGCAGTACTGGATGCATGTCAAAGCAATAACATAGGATTTGTGGCATTACCAGCAAACTCTACACATTTTTTGCAGCCTCTAGATGTTACCTACTTTAGACCTATTAAGATTAACTGGCGCAAAATATTATGTGAATTGAAGGAGAAAGGAAAAGGAAGGAGAGTTGCTTCTCTTCCTAAAGATAAATTTCCTAGACTTTTAGACCGTTTAATTACCAACTTAAATGAACATGGGAATGATAACCTTAGAGCTGGTTTTTGCAAAACTGGAATTTTTCCATTAGACAAGTCTCAAGTGCTTTCACAACTACCATGTTGTAATGTAGGTTTAGACTAAACTACTGATTTAGTAAGCTAATTATTTTTAGATCACTTATGTAAGTCACTGGATGATCCCTCAAATGGTTCTAAAAAACCAAAGCGACGTAAAGTATGTGCTGTCCCAGATAAAAGCTTATGTTCAACAGATATATCATTGTGTGTTATAAATGAAAATAATAGATTAAATTCAAATAATGTAGATACACCTATCAGTATTATAAATACAATTGAGACCAACAACATTGAATTTGCTGGCCCAAGTACAAATACTGGAACTACTGAGAGTTCTAATATAATTTTTGCAGATGTAAGTTTAGTTGTAGAAAGTCATACAGAATCTTTAGATCATTCAACATTCGGCAAAAAGAAATTTCAAAAGATTGATAAAACAAAAAATGTTTGTAAAAAGGAGAAATTATTAAATCTTGTAGAGAATTGTTATGTAATTTTTATATGCAATGGAGAGTTAAATCCTGGACAGGTTTGTTTATTTATTTTGAGTTATTTATATTTAGCTAATCAATTAGTAAACTTTATAACTAATTAATTTAATAACTAATATTATATTAAGAAGAGCAACTTTTTTTTTCCCCAGTCTGAAATAGTCGATTTTATTGAGGAACCATAGAAATTTTCGAAAAGAGGAATTTATTCAGTTCTAGAACTTTTTCAGTAAATTTTTTAAAACATTAATTTTGTCATTTTCGTTTACTTTATACCTAAACTGTTTTGTTTTCTTGGTACCTATACTTGTTTAGTTTGTACCTATATTTTATTTACTGTACACAAGAACTTTGTTACGAAATCTTTTTTTATCACTTTATTTTTGTAAATTAATTTTCTTTGCCTAAATATTGCTGTTTTTATTGTTGTTTTGCTTCCTTTAGTTCCTTTTTACAGGGTTGGGCCAAAGTCACCATAACACATAGGGCGACTTTGGCCCACCATTTAAACCACTCAAAAAATACTTCAGGTAAATAGTTTTCAAATGGGAGACAGATAGT